CCCCCCCCCCCCCCCCCCCGCGCGCGCGCTTTCTCAGACCGTCTTTCTGCCTTCCCGAGCTTGGGGGCTTCGTCATGTCAGTCGACTCTACCCCTCACGGCCAACAATCACTCAAAATCGCTCCACCGTGCGTTTAGGAATTGATCAAACGCACGCCCGATGCCCACCCAGAAAAGGCCAATCTGCCTTCGGCACTCAAAGCCGTTGAGGAGCTGGCCAAATACATCAATCAGAGCAAGCAGGAATATGAGAGTCTCAAATCCATTGATCGCAGCTTGAACCAGTACAACGGCAAACCCTTGGTGGAGTATGGGCGCTTGGTGAAGGACGGTGATCTAGGCTTTCGCAATATGCGCACGCGCGAAAAGCTCAAAGTTCGCTACATCTTCCTGCTCTCCGAAGCCGTTATCGTTGCCAAGAGCAAAGGCTCGCGCTTCAACTTTAAAGCCTGCTTGGAACTCTTGGACAACATGGAGCTGGTTGAGGCAGACTACCCGGCTGACGAGCCTCAGGATGGTACCCACACACACGCCTTTGGCCTCAAACCTGCTGATGCCCGGGCCCCCATTTACTTGTTTGCTGCAAAAAATCCCAACACAAAGAAGAAATGGATGGCTGCCTTCCAAGACTGCATCGATGCCATCCGGGATGCCAAGGTGGCGCCTCCAGAAGTGAAGCCTCGTGCTAATCCAACCGAGCCAATGGGCTCGCGGCCTCTGCCCCCCAAGCCCGTGGCCCCTGCAGCTTCACCTGGAAAATACTTGGACTGGACGCCCATGGGCCCGCCCAGCTCACTGGGTAGCCCACCCCCCACTCCTGCCTCTTCACAAGGCCATGCGAGTCACGATGATTTCTCTGAAGACCAATGGTTTGCTGGTGTCATGGATCGTGGACAGGCTGTCTCCGTTCTTGCTGGCATGACTGATGGTGCCTTCTTGGTCCGCGAGAGTGTACAGCGCCTTGGCGAGTACTCGTTGAGCATCATGTATCGTGGTGATGCCAAGCATATCAAGATCAACCGCAGTGGCAACAAGTTTGACGTGGCTCCGGATTCAAAGGCATTTTCCACCGTTCAGGATTTGGTGTCGTATTTCCAGCAGCACAGCCTAAGCCGTCACTTTCCCGGCATGGACACCACACTTCGAGTACCGTATCGACAGGCACAACTCTCAACCGCCACCACGAGCAGTGTCGGCAAAGCCCGCTCGCGTTTCCCTTGTGCGTCTGACACGGTGGCGTTGTGCTATGCTTCCATGCGTCCCCATGCTCCTCCCCGCGCTGCGCCGCTTTCAGTTCGTCTCAACCGCGTGTGGCGTGTTTACAGACGTAGCACGTAATCCCGATGAGCTCAGTTTTGAACGTGGTGCTGACATTATCATCACCAGCCTTGAAGAGGCAGATCCTGGCTGGTGGCGTGGCACCGTGGTGGGCACCAGCGAGGTATGAGCGTTTTTGTTTTTGTTTTGTTTCCTTTGCTTGCCTCCGCATGGCCATCCGAGGGCAAACGTGCCTTTTTGACTCTCATCCGCGCCTTCTTTGTTCAACTATTTGATCGACTGCTGTCATGTAGGAGGGCATTTTCCCCGCGAACTTTGTTGAGCGACTGACATAGCCATATCCTTGTCGTTTTGTCCTGTCTTGTGCGTCAATGTTCTTTGCCTTTAGCCTTTCCTGTGACGAACTGAAGCAATAGTTGTACCTCTCTGGTTTCTCTGTCGCGTTCAGCTTTGTGACAAGCAGCTTGCTTGTATGCTCTTCCCGGGTATCAATCTTTGAAGCGTAGCCTCCTCCACCCTCTTTTCCTATTCGTTTATAAAGTCTTTTTGTCTGCCTTCTTGTTTAAGTGTTTTCTTGGGTGTTTGGTTAACGTGCTCGGTTGACAAACCCTGCTGGTTTCCGCATCGTGACTGCTGCTCCTTTCATGTCTGATGTTTCTTTTTGTTGTATCGTCCCACATGTCGCGCTTTGGCATTGCACTGAGCTTGGTCAACAATGACTGTCACTTGGCAAGATTTCAATCAACCCCCTCCCTCTGGATCTTTTTCAGACTCTTCTCCGCACAATTTCGATTTGCATCAAAGAGGAGGTCAAACCTTTATGAAAGAGTATGCTTTGCTGGCTGGCCCGTCATGCCAAAGCGAAAGAAAAAAAAGTAGCTTCACACGCACACGGCTCTATCTGCCCCTTGCAAATACTTGACCTTGCGCGCTATCTTCATCACTGCGCAACGATGAAACCCATGAGCTGAAATTGCGGGCTGTTGAAAAAAAAAAAAAAAAAAACCTCGGTTTATTCGGTTTATGCTCAGAGAACCCTGTTTATCGACCACGACGGCCAGTGCCACGAGTTGGGCCCATGGCGCGACCGCGGCCTCCGCCGCGACCGCGACCGCGGTTCATGGGCATACCACCCATGGGAAGGCCCGGTGGGAGGCCCATGCCACGATGCGCAACGTCAGGCATACCCACATGCGCAGCAGCCTGCATGTGCGTCTGGGAAAGACCTGGTTGGTGCTTGTTGTCGGGCACGCCAGCGCCATAGCCCATGCCACCCAGGCCAGAGCTAGGTACGTGGCTCGTCATGTGTGGATGCTGGTGTTGCTGCGGCATGGAATGCATGGCCTGAGTGGGATACGAGGAGGACTGATTGTAGCCCAGAGCACCGCCCGCAGATGCAGACGAAGTGCTCGTGGGATACAATGAGGCGGAGTTGTAACCAGTGCGCATGGAGCTGGCCATGGAGCTGGCCCCGCCTGGCGCACGGCTGGACATGGGATCCTCGTCAAAGTAGCTGCTCTGTGGCACGAAGGAAGCATCCGAGTAACCATGGGGTGGCAGGCTGGAAGAGTACAAGCTTTGTCCTGGGGCCTGATGAGAATTATGGTAGGACATCTGCTGGAGGAAGGGTGCCGCTGGCGGAGGCATGTTGTACGATAGTGAGGGCACAGGGAAGGAATGATATCCTGGGTTGGTACCATATGTAGCGTATGTGTTGGTCTGGGTGGATGGACCAGCAAATCCGTAGGGCGAATAGGCCATGGAACCGCCGTGTGCACCAGTGGCGGGGCGAGGCATGACGTTCTGAGCCACAGATGAAGCCATGATCGGGGCATTGCCCACTGACTGGTGGCGACTCATAAAAGGCTCGGCATTGGCATTCAGCGAGGAATCAGCCGGGGCACCGAAATCAAAAGCGGGCAACCCAGATGAGTTGTTGCTGTCCCCGGCAGAGGAGGCGGGCATACCCACGGCACCCTTGGTGTCGGATTCGGAGGGCACGCCAAAGGTGAAGTGGGAAGAGCTGGAGAAGCCTGAGCCATCGGCCTTGGTGGCCTCAAAGCGAGCCGACGGCGAGCGCGCCATGCCTGCCGCTGATGCTTGATCGGTGGGACCCAGTGGGAGGGACCACACATTCTGGCCGTGGGCATTGGAGCTATCCGAGGACGGCGCACCCCACTGGTCGCCACCGGCCCAAACACGCTTGACGGCATCTTCATCAAAGCCTGATGCACCAGCATCATCGACCTCAATCTTCGCCCGGGGCTTGCCGGGAGCAGGCAGAGTAAGCGGCATCTTGGCACCCAAGTCATCCGACTCGTCGTCCGCAACTGCAGCCGTGGAGGCTGCCAAGTCAGCATCTACCTCATCATCATCATCCGCCTCATCGGCCACCATGGCAGCCACATCCGGCAGGTCATCGTCCACATCAAGGTGGTTGTTGTCGAGAGTATTGGTCAAGTCGGGTTGGTTCCAAGCCTCGCGAGCCTTTTCCAACCGATCCTTCTTGAGACGGGCTTCCTCGGCCTGCTTTTGCTTGCGGCTCTTCTCCTCCTCTTGACGGCGGCGCTGCTCCTCCTCATGTTGGCGACGTCGCTCCTCCTCGAGATGCTGGCGACGACGCTCTTGCACCTGAGCCTTGGTGAGAACAGTGGTGAAGCCATCATCCTCATAGGCATCGGCATCAGCAGTCTCAGTCGCAGTGGCAGTCGCATCCAGCATCACCACTCCTTCGGTTCCAGCAAAGCGATCGGCGGTGTTCTTCTTGGATGCAATCTGATTGAACGACGCTTGCAATTGATCACCGGCAGCCAAACCCAGCGTGGAGAACCCGCCAAAGGCCTTCTCTAGCTTGCTGCGCTCCTCCTGCTTGCGCTGCGCCTCCTCCTCAACACGGCGTCGCTGGCGTTCGGCGGCCTCGGCTTGGCGAGCCTTGGCCAAGTTTTGCTGCTGCAGCTGTTTGGTGATGTCCTCCAAAGAAGGTCCCAAAGACACGCCTGGGGGTGGCATGTTCACACTGTCGGAGCTGGCGCTGCCCTTGCCATTGGCGCGACCAGTCTGGCTCAGTCCAGGAGCAGGGCCAGATGCAGGTTTGCGCTCACGGGTACGACGAGCTGGTGCTTCTTCCTTAGTCTGGGCAGGTGTTGTGCGCTGCGTGGCCGTAGGCAATTGGATGACAACTTCAGGCTCATCAAAGCGAGCACGTCCACGGACAACCTCATCGGTTCGTGGGGCAGGAACCTCTGGCAGTTCATGGCGCTGGGCCAGCTGCACGCGCTCGGTGCCATCTGATCCCTGTGAGCTCTGGCGCTGGCGCGCACTCGTCGACGACTTGAATCGACGACCTGTGCCAGCCCCGGCTTCGCCCTTGCCATCGGTCCAGTCAAAAAGCTCACGCTTGGTGACCGTGCCGCGAGAAGCGGGGTCGGCGACCGCATATGCCGATCGGGCGGCCTCGGATGTCTACACGAGCACGCATCAAGTCAACATTCGGGTTCAAAAACAAAAAAAAACCCCCGTTTCAAACCCCGCCGAAAAACCGCATTTTGTAAGCAGGGCGCACACAAACTCGACACGCAAGCAAATAATGGTTGATTCGGGAACGTACAGCAGTGTTGCCAGTCTGCCAGCTGTGAGAGTCGGCATTCGAGGCTTCGCGAGGGTTGGCGGGTGCAGTGCGAGCAGCGGCACTGCGCCAGTCGTCACGATCAGCAGTGCGCCAGGCCGAGCCAGTGGCGCTTGATGAAGTTGCCGGGGTTGGGCCGGGTAGGGTAGGTGGCGTTGAGACCGGTGCTGAAGCTTGACTCGGCGCTTGTTTCAAGACTGGCGCTGGAACTGAGGCTTGCTGTGGCTGTTGCTGCTGCTGTTGTTGTTGTTGCTGCTGCTGCTGCTGCTGCCAGACGACCCCTTCAACGGGCACGGCATCATCGGCAGCAGGCGGCCGTACCTCAATGGGCAGGGGCAGGTGTTCAAAGCGACGTTGAAAGCTCATGGCCACGACGCCCGGGCGGGGCAATTCACCGGTCCAAAACTGATCGCCCATTTCCACTGGCAAGATCAACGAGGCTTCCTGGACAATCTCCTTGGGCTGGGCGCCAGGTCGCGCCTTGGCAACAGCCTGGAGTGTGGGGTCTGAAGCAGCCCAGTCAACGACGGCTGTCTTGGCTGGACCGTTTACAGGGGCCTTGGGGGCAGCCTTCCACACGTTAGTAGGGGGCCCCGAGGCCGCGGGAGCGGCCGGGGAAGGGGGACTGGCAGGGGCAGCAGCGGGGGCAGCAGACGACGACGATTTCGGCTTGCTCGTGCCTGTTTCAAGGTGATGAAGCAAAGTGCTGTCAGTGAGGGGGTTTCAGGTGTGAAGCGAAAAACACCTGTTTGGCCTGTTGACCTCTACGGCCCAAGAAGCGGGGAGGTGGTGACATCAAAGACCAAAGGCGTACCAAGAAACTGTTGTTGGAAGTCGTCATCATCGTCGGCCCAATCGACGCGCGAGGTCATGCGCACGGTAGGGCCAAGACTAGCCACTGGTTTGGCACGAGTGGGCGCGGCCGTCACACGAGGACCTCCAGACAAGGCAGCTCTTGTGGTGGCAGCGGCAGTTGCCGCGGGCTTGGGGCGCGGTGCGGCGCTGCTCGTGGTCGTGCCACGCAGGGAAGGGAAGGTGGTGCTGTCGGCACCAGCCACAGAGCGCGTGGCCGTCGGCTGGGGCTGGATGAGAGTGGCCGGGGAAAAAAAAAAAAGAGTACAAATTTGAACAATGAGCTGAGGTCGGTGGGGATGGAGGAGGGACGCGAGTTCGGGGGGAAGGGACAAATGGTACCTCGGTTGCTTTGCTGACGGTGGCAGTGGTGGCAGCAGGCTTGAATCCCCATCCCATGGCGCGGGGAGCGCGCGCCACGTTGGTGCTATCCGAGCTTTGACTCTCAGCCCGTCGGCTGGGCAAAGCGACGGGCACCACATTGGGCCGCCGGGGCGCCTTGGGCGCGGCTGGAAGAGAGCAAGGGTGTGGTGAGCACGACCGACTGGTTGTTCGGAGGAGACGGGTTGCCTGTGGGGTGCATGGGCTTCAGGTGTTAACGTACCAGCGCGGCTATTGCCGCGGCCTCGTCCGCCGTATCCCATGATATGGGGGACTGTGATCACTGAGATGTGGTCGAGCTCAAGGCGTCAGAAGACAAGTGTCGCGGGCGGAGATTCTTGCAGCAGCAGCAAACGGGATCAGAAGCAGTACCACGCAGTGGTGGACAAAGGGAGCAGGCGCTCCGCGAAAACCCGGCCTGGCACAGGAGGTGCTGATGGTGGTAGGTGGCAGCGATCCAAATCAACGTCACGACCGAAATGACACACAAGTTTTTGCCCCACCGGCAGCGCGACCCGGGACTCTAGCGTTGCTGAAAGAGCCTCGGCAGCAAACCCGCCAACAACGCACGCCCACAGAAACGCCCTTGAGGCAGCACGCACGAGCAACCTGAAAAAGGTAGCCACCTATAAGATCAATCCAAACCGGCAGTTCAAACAGGGCTATCAAGGAGCCGCTGCCCTCCCTCGCCCGGTGCTGGTGCTGGTGCTGGTGCTGGTGGCCCTCAACGCGGTTGGACTGTAGTGCTGTAGTGACGTGACTGTGCCTTAGAGGAGTTGAGTGCGTCTCCGTCTCTCTCTCTCTGTCTCTGTCTCCTCTGTCTCGCTCTCTCTGTCTCTGTCTCTGTCTCTCTCTCTCTCTCTCTCTCTCTCTGTCTCTCTCTTCTCTGACGTTTGGTAATGGGATGCCACAAGGGCTGAATGGACGACTGTGCGATAAGATGTAAAGGTGGACAAGTCAATTGCATCGTTTAAATCATTCAAATTTTCACAGAAGAGCGTTCTTCTCTTGTCAGATAAAGGAACTAGCCGTTATGGAACTGGAAAGAGAGAACTCAGGACAACAAGGCATTGGCGGTGAGCGGCGGAAGCTTGGATGCAGTGGTGCGGGGGGCTGGCATGTTTGGCCAGAGGGAATAGACGCGGGTCGCATTGAGTAAGCGCGTTTCCCAAGCTGCCATCTTTTTTCACATGCAGACGGCACCAAACCGTGAGATGCAAGGAGCGGTGACTCGCACCTCCAAGAAAAGTTTGATCGAAACGAGTCACAAGGGGGCATTGCCGGTTGGCTGATGCACAGATACAACGGATACCGCATACTCGGGATACGAACCGTTTGTGCAGTTTGCAGGTTTCCATGCTCAAAGCCCAACAAGTGTGCCGTACCGTGGATCAGCACGCGCTAGAGGTAGAACCAAGGGCATCCCAGCACCGGCAAATGAAGGTTCAAATGGGCTTGGCCGCATAGTTGACTGCTGGGAAGACGGAAACTTTGTTGCTCAAGCCAACACTTTGGAATGTATGAAGGCAGTACAACTGCGCACATCCCAGACAACCCCATCACCAGCAAAGCGAGTCACAAACCTGAAGATGGGCATGGGGACACACCTCCAGGTCGCGCGCATCACTCAAGACGCGCGCGGGACACACCATCAGATCACCCAAGTCTGCACCTCGGCGTACTTGACTCCGACTTTGCACGCCTGCCAGCATTCCGGGGAGCTAAGCACGGCTGGCTAGTTCGGGCTGGGCCACACCTGAACACCTGCGTCCATTGACATCATGACGCACCGGCAAAGGAGAGAACGTCGGTGACTGCATCTACACGGCGATAGCGCAGGTTATGCTCGCGGATGGTGGCATCATCGGCCACGTACAAGCCCACCATGGCTCCGTTGTATGGCCGACCCAAGCAGCGTCCGATATCTGCAAACTGCAACCAATTCTTGTGTCAACCTGGCCCGTGCTGTTTCTGGGGAAGCTCCGCCCCCTCGTACACACACACACACACACACACACACACACACACACACACACACACACACACACACACACACACACACACATGTGCACACGAACGCCAACTAACCGTCTGCCGCAACCCCGTCGCGTTGAGCTGCTGGAGTGCCTGCCGAGGCAGTCCCACCACCCGCGCCCGCATCATCTGTGTTTAAAATGTCTGACAATCCCGTATGCAATTCGCCTTGACGCAGTTTATACCAAAGTTGTGGTTTATTGTCATGTTTTCGTTGTACTTCAATCAGTATTTTACGCAAAGATGCAGATTGTAATGGGTTTTATATATGTAGCATGTTGACTTATATCCTCTAATATGAAGGTTAATGCAGGAATATTCCGAGTTAATGTCAGTGCTTGATGTGCTACTTGTTGTTGTGGCATTTGCGCGCGCTCTCTCTTCTCTCTTCTCTCTCGCCGTGTTTCCGCCCCTTTCGGCAGTGAGTGGCGGAGGTGCACCGTTGGCTCCGGCACACGTCTCTGTGTTCGCGGTGGTAACGACGTGTCTCAGCGTCTGTGCTTCGGTCTGAGGGGGGGAAGCTGTCTGCCCCACATCCTGGGTGTGGGGCAGCTCGTTCGCTTTGGCGCCTGATCTTGAATGCAAGGGAGCATTATTGATATTTCTGACCAGCCCAACCTCGTGCAAACCTCGTGTGCTCGCGTCACCGGCAAACAAGACACCCATTCATCATCATCATGGCGTCGCGCGAGGTTTGGCATCCAATGCCCTCACCCGCGTGTCCTGTCAGTGTGTTGGCCCACCTCACTCGACGTGGCCGTGATGGTTTTGCCAATCGATTCGCAGGTTTTGGAGCTCTGGCATTCATCTTGCCAGGCCTATCGAAAGAACGATCTCACTGGTATGTTTGGGACATCGCTCACGCCGCCGCGGTCGAATGAGATGTCGGTTTAACGACACGAAAACGACACGACCCCACCTTGCCTCATCCAAACCCCGAACAACACCCCCAGGCGCGCTAGGTCATTTACAAAACATTCCTGAAGACCATCAGACAGCGCGACTGTACGTGAACCAGGGCATCATCCTTGGCCAACGCCAGGACCATGCTGGTGCAACCCAAATTTTTCGCAAAGCATGTGTTGCCGACCCCCATCTTGCTCTTGCCCAATTTCAACTGGGGCACGCCCTCTTCACGACTCAGCAGTATCATGAGGCACGCATTGAGATCTCAGGCTTCTGGCTCGTAACTTTTGCTCCGTAAGCGTCTCATTTGAGCCATGGCTCTACCTTAGGCCATGACGGCTTTTGCCCGTGCTCATGAGCTTCTGCGTGGCGCCAAGTTCATCGACTATAAACAGCTGGGCCTCCCATACCGCCTGTGCGCCTGTGAAGTGGCCTTCAACGCGTACGTCAAGCCCAAGATGCCTCCATCCTCTCCGTGTCACCTGGTGGTCTCACAACAAGCTGCTGCCTCGCCTTGTCTTTGTCTTATGTTCTCTGTCATCCCACTCTGTATGGAACACCACAACCCCACAACGCTGCTCACCACAGATCCCTGGCAGCGCAAAAGGCCAATGAGACCAGCAAGGCCGAACACTATTCCCACATCGCCCACGACAGCTCTACCCATCTCACCGACGCCCATCGGTCCCTTGCCGTGAGCAGCCACCATTATGTCTTTGGCTTGCAAGTTTCGACTTGGATGTCCCTTCTCATACCATCGTTCTTCTGACAATAGACATCGGCGCGCAGTGAACCCTTTGTCCTTTCGAGTCGAATCGGTATCTTTGAGCCACCCGCCGCCAAGGTGAAAGGCCTCAAGGCAAAACAGTTCATGGGCAAGAGCGAATTTCGCGCGGGTCTCTATGCGGACGACAAAGATGTTGGTTTCGAGGGCGACCGTGTTCTGGAGAAGCTCGACGTAAGCTAGCGTCGCCCCCAAATCAATTCCAACACCTGGTCCCTTGATGTCCGCCTCATAGCCGCGTGGGCCCTGGCTGACGATAGGCACAAGCTCGTGTCGAGGCCAAGAAGCGTCTGTTCAAGCCTGATCGGCCCGCCATTTCTGTGCGTCCATCCGTGCCCGTTGGCGCACCTCACCGACCAAAGCCTGGCCTACACCCCCTCACCTCGCCCCTCCGTATCATGTGTACACAGGCTGAGGGCTTGAAGCGCTTGGCCGTCAAGTCGCACACGGCCAGTGCTGATGTGGCTGTTGGGACACACAAGGTTTGTGGCGGTGCGGCAACGGCGACAAGGCTAAAGCGTGACTGTGGCTTCACACCCTCCAATCGTGTCTGTCCCTGACCATCCGCCACGACTCGCGCAGGCTATTTATGACTTTGATCCCGAACAGCCCGAAGACCTGGGTTTGCAGGAGGGCGACAAGGTAACACTTTTGGAAGAACGCGACGAAGGCTGGGCCTACGGTACGTGGTTGTCTGATGTCACCTACCAGTCTGCCACAAATCGGACGGAAGATGCGAGGTCACTCCAATCTGCTGCCGCACCACGTACTCACTCGCGGTTGCGACAGGCGTCAACCAACGCTCCAAAGCCTCGGGTGTATTTCCCATCAGCTATGTGCAAAAGCTGACCAAGGCGGAGCGCATGCGAGCGCCGCCGCCCGCTACACGGCCGCCACCGCCTTCACTTGGCGGTTCGCATCCGGGGTCTGGTCGTGCTTCGCCTGCATCCCCGTCGTCGTCATCCAATGCCTCCTCGCTGAGCCGCAACGGCAGCACTCGTCCACCACCTCCAACCAGCAGCCCCCCACTGTCCTCCTCCCCGCGCTCATCCTCGGGTGTGGCGAGCGTGGTTGGATCTGCAAATCGCCTGCGACACAATGATGTCAGCACCGGCGGCGTTCCCGTCGTGGCCCGTGCTAGTGGCAAATCCAAGCCACCCCCGAAACCGCAGCTGCCCGGTTCGATTCGATCCAACAAATCTTTTGGGCGCTCCTTTTCAGCCAGCGATGCCCCTGCATCGGATACCCAGGCAAGCAAACTGGATAAAGCGCCACTTCGCCCTCCTGCGCCATCGGCATCTGCGCTTTCCAGCTCCCTGCCTGGACCCACTAGTTTGACGGATGATCGTCGCGACTCTGAGCAATTGGCCAATTCTGAATTGGCCGATGTTTTTGCAAATCGCCAGAACTCGCTACGTCGCGTCTCCAAAGATGCTTTGGAGACGGATCAGCCAAACGAGACCGGTCAAACCCAAGCAGCCACCGTTGCTGAACGACGCAAGCTGCTCATGAAGAACTCCAATCGGATCAAGGAAGAACCCGCTCAGAGCCCGGATGTGCGCAAGACAGCAGGGTCGAGTGCCAAACCCCGCCTCCCCGCCAAGCCTGGGCCCCCTGTCAAGCCCGTCATGCCAACAAAACCAACTGGACCACTCAAGCCTCCCATGTCCGAGAAAACAAGCACTGTCACGTCAAGCACCGGCTCGGCCTTCACGAACAGCTCAGGCAAATCAAGCGGGCCGACGACGACAGCGTCGACCATGCAAGCTGTCCCCGCTCCGTCGACACCCCACGAACCGCCGTCGCTCATCGAGAAAGGATCGATTCGTGACCGCGCCAAATTGTTTGCCAATGACAACGCTCCAGGATCCGCGACCGGTGGTCTGCCCGTGCCCAAGCGCTTCCAAAAGTCGACGTCATCCCCAAGCCTCGGCACTGCTTTGCCGAATGACAAGGTGAAGACAGGCCAACCCATACCTTTTCTTGAGCCAGTTGCAGCTGTCCCGGCGGTCCAGGATAATCAGATATTGGTGGAGCTGCATCACAGCAGTGGGAGCAAGCACATTGCTGTCGAGAAGACATCGACTCTGCTGCAGCTCGAAAAGGTAAACTCATGTCGTCAAGGCGCTGTGTGGGAGGAAAGGTTTTTTTTAAGGCACAACCAAGCGTGCTGGTACCCTAAACCATTCTAGACTCATTATATTGACACAATTGCAGGAAGTTGCCGTGGCACTGAGCGATGCCAAGTCTGCCTTGTGGTACAAGCCGATGGCAGCCGCGCCTGAACTCAAGATGACAGACCAAAGGTGTGTATACATGTGTGCACGCATTGTTGAGACTGTGGGTGGTTCCCAGCAACTTGTTTGCAGGCTCACGTTTACGGTGCTCGGCTCTTACTCTTACTTTGGGTGGTGGTGAGTGCAGCCACGTAGACTTTTGGCTATCTCTGGCGGCAGCCAATGACAACAAGCTGGCTTTGTTTGTCCATGCCTAAGTAACCACCAATCACCCAAAGGCGCTTGATATTTGATCTAATTGTTGACAGGCTGTTGGCTCACCATTGGTCCCAAGCTGGCTTGAGACCGGCCGAAACCCCGACTGTCTCCACTCGTTTATGTTTGTTGCTTTGCTCCTACGAATCCTTTTCTGTGCGCATCGACGGCGTTCTCGGCAATTGAGCCTAGTTTTTGATGATACTGACCCCATCATGTCCAACTACATCAACAGGACGCACCAGTCCCTTTACGCACAGTCAGTCCCTGCGACGAAATAGGGCAAACGGGCACCTCACACGGACCAGAATAGCACACACACATCAAAGAAAATTATACTCAAAGAGCTTTCTTCTTCTTTTCTTCTTCTTCTTCTTCTTCTTCTCTCTCATACACGTGTCCTTTGGGAAATTTTCTTCTTTTTTCTTCTTTCAAGATGCTTCCGGCAACAACAGCTCGTCGAGCGATGGCGCTGGTGACGGGGCTGCGACGACCACTGCTGGCGCGTGGCAGCGTGGTGGCTCCGATCCGCAGCTGGCGAGGCCTGCATGCCAGTGTCACCAAGGCCAGTGAGAACACTCCTGCCGCTGACCTCGAGCATCGGGAGAGCCACACGTTTCAAGCCGAGACTTCCAAGCTTCTCAACATCGTGGCCTCCTCTCTCTACAGTGAACGTTCGTCTAGCTGAGCCCCTCTCTGGTCCCTGCAGCCCCTGAACTCGTATCAGCACCTGGCCCTAGGCGATGGGCGCGTTGCACACTTTGGGTGCATGCGGTTGTTTGATGCAGTCTGCTTAAAACATAAGCAAAACACTTTGTTCGATGATGCGCCCCTCTCACCCTGCTTGGTCATCCATCCGACTCGTAGGTGAGGTCTTTGTCCGTGAGCTCATTAGCAATGCGTCAGATGCCTTGGAAAAGCTGCGTTATATCCAAGCCACTGGCCAGGATGTGAGTAGGCGCAACGCGCTCAACCCTGTGCCTCCAGCTAACATGACCCACTGTGCACTCATCTGCCCTTGATCTGTGAACACAGGTGGCTTTTCCCGAGACCCCGCTGGAAATCACCATTGAAGCTGACCAAGAACGCAATACCCTCATCATCTCGGTTGGTGACGCAAATTTCGATGCCAATGGAAGGCCCACCTCCTTCCACCCTGACCATAGCCTCGTTATCTCAATGACGGCGCTTCCTGCATTCAGGATACCGGTATTGGTATGAACCACGACGAGCTCGTCTCCAACTTGGGCACGATTGCTCGGTATGTGTGCTAGAATTTCTGAGAAACAGCTTGGTCCCCACTTGGCTTCGTTGGCGCTAGATCCACGGAATCACACGCCAGCCATTGATGATGCCGTGCCTCGCGTGCTCGCCGCGTAGCTCGGGCAGCAAAGAGTTTATGGAATCTTTGGCCGACGGCGCCCAGACCGGCGCCGCTGATGCGCGCGAAAAGATTATTGGACAGTTTGGTGTGGGTTTTTACTCTGGTCAGTGTTTGCATGCTTGCGCAGTAACCGGCTGTATCGATCTCTGGGGAAACTCACACATCAGCTTGATTTAGGTTTCATGGTAGCGGAAAAAATGACCGTCTACACCCAAAGCCACGCTGCCACGGAAAAGGCTTGGCTGTGGGAGTCTGAGGGGTGCGTTCATCTGCGAGTCTGGTGCCCGTGCACCCTTGTGACAATATGCCTGGGCCCGTTCGGCGCTCACTTCTGTCATTACCATGTGTTTGTTGTGTACAAAGCTTGGGGAGCTACACGGTTGCCCCAGCCAGCCAAGTCGTGCGTGGCACACGCATTGAGCTCAAGCTGCGCGATGATGCCCGTGAATTTGCCGATGCCGGCCGCATCAAGTGAGTATTTTGACGCGTAGGAGGGCTGTGCTTTTGCAGCAGAGATTCACACCCGGATCGATGCTGGGAGACTCGAGCTCGGTCAAAATGGCGCGACCGCCCATACTTTTTGAGTGGTTGACGACCGGGCATACGTTCATTTGTGCGTGCAGGGATATCATCAAGAAATACTCCAACTTTGTCGGCTTTCCCGTCAAGGTTAACAATGAAGTTATCAACAGCATTCAGCCGCTTTGGACTCTTCCGGCCTCGTCTATCACCCCCGAGCAGCATGAAGGTCTGTCTGAAAAGCACCTTTACACACTTGTCTGCTCATTTGGGCCGTTGAGGCGATGAATCAACTCACTGGTGCCCGTCTTGTTTTTCCCAATTAGAGTTTTATCGTTTCATTGGCAACAGCTACGATACTCCCCAATTTGTCATGCAGTACTCGGCCGATGCACCTCTGATGATTCGCAGCTTGCTCTACACCCCCACAAGCAACCCAGAAACTTTCCTTGGTCCCGGTCAGGTGCAGATGCAAATCTCCCTCTACTGCCGCAAGGTATGCAGCAGCGCTTGTGTTATTACAAATGCCCCTGCGCAGGCCTTTGCATTCAAGGCTTGATTTTCTATTTTTCCTTTTTACTTACTCCGTATCCATCGCAATGACGGTGGCTGAAAATGGCCGCCCTTAAAGGTCTTGATCAGCAACGATTTGGAAAAAATGTTCCCGAGCTGGATGCGCTTTGTCAAGGGCGTGGTGGACAGCGAAGACATTCCTCGTCAGTGGCACCGCCCTTCAAGAGTGGCTGCATGTTTATGGACCCTGACTCATCTCGCTCAATCCGTGTCACTTGACTTGTCACACAGTCAACCTGTCTCGTGAGATGCTTCAAGATTCAGCCCTGATCCGCAAGATTGGCAATATCGTGGTGGGCCGTTACATCAAGCATTTGGAAAGCCAGATCAAGGAGGACCGAACCAAGTTTGAAGTCTTCTTTTCTGAATTCCGTAGGTTTTGTGTGGCTTGTCATCACTTCTTGGTCAGACATCTCCGTGTGCCCTTACCTCAACTGCAACTAACTTGGATTCGTGCACATGCGTAGACCGCTTTTTGATGGAGGGCATGATTACCGATTATGCTCACCAGGTAAGATGATTTTCACGCCATGCGATGGCCCCACGCTTTGTCCCAGTTCTAATGATGCTATGAACTGCTTGCTTGACAATTGCAGAAAGGATTGTCTCGCCTCTTGATGGCGGAAACGAGCACGAAGCCAGCCGGGGCCATGAGCACCTTGTCTGAGTACATTGAGCGGATGCCGGAAGGTCAAAAGGAGATTTATTATGTCATTGCCAAGTCTCGTGAGGTACGCGTCTGGCATCTTTGGCATCTTTGGCATTTTTGGCACCTTTGGAGTTGCAAGTTGGCTTTCCAGCCGTCTTCTGCCGCACGTGTGGTCTCGACTGCAGTGCCACCGCTGGTTGTAGCGCATTTGCAAGCCTCACACCTCATTTTTCGACCTCCGTTGCTCTATTATTTATTGCCATGGCTACCCCCAGGCGGCCCTGGCCTCGCCTTACATGGAGATGATGAAGCACAAGGAGAGCGAGGTCCTCATTTTCACGGACCCGGTGTACGACCTTGTCCTGCGCCAACTCAATGAGTTTGAGGGCAAGGAGATTCTCTCAGTTGAATCCTCCCGTGTCGAGTCAGAGTCGGAGGAGAGCAACGGCGAACTTTCTGAGACTGAAGCCGCTGCTTTCAAGGGTTGGCTCAAGATGACGATCGGCGACACTGCCGTGCGTGAGATCAAGGTAGGTCAACAATCCAGCCGGTACTCTGCTTGATGAAGGATGCCTCAATGCGACAAGCTCAAATGGCTCGCTCGTTCCTTGGTGGCCAATTTGTCAACCAGACATCGTCGCGCTTGGTGGATACGCCGGCCATCATCGTGGACCATGACAGCGTGGCACTGCGCCAGTACGTGCATGACACTCTTGGTCGCGCGCTGGCTTGCACTTTGGGAAACTCTGTTTGTTTGCTTTTTCTTTTACTCACTTTTCTTCTATGCGATCTCATATTCGCGCTTTTGCAGGCTGCAGCAAATGCAGAACAGTGGCATGGGTTTGACGCTTCCGCCCCAGGTGCTTAGCATTAACCTCAAGCATGACGTAGTCAAGGGTATCCATGAGATGTATCAGAAGGACTCTGCGAGTGATATGGCCGCACTCGCGGCTCGTCAGCTATTTGTCAATGCGCAAATCGCCGCCGGTCTTGTCGACGATGCCAAGTGAGACTGGATGATGATTCTCCCCCTGATCAAGCGCCTTTTTGCACCGTTTCGTTTGTTTAACATGGCGTGTTTTGTTGCACAGGAATCTTCTTCCTCAACTCAGCCAGGTGCTGCAGGAGCTTTGCCGTGCAAATGGACAAGCCGCCCAGTAGTCGTGGCCCTTACTCATTCAAGTCATGACCGTTGATTGATCCTTTCGTTCCGGAGCTGGCCATAACAAAAAATTGAGAGTGCAATGTGTTGATGTCTAAATTCAGGCAAATAGTGGAATGCAAATGCACAGCAATCATTATTGAGACATTTTATGATTTGAAACACTTGGATCAAAACATTGTGTTGTGTTCCTCTGCTTCTCTGATCTGGCTGGTATCACGATACCACCAAAGCGCACCTCACTTTGGAAAAGAAAAAAAAAAAAAAAAGAACCATCAACTGCCAAAAATTTTTGTCAAGAAGCAGCGCAGGATATATGTGAGCGTCAAATCCGCGCTCATCCACTTTGCCTCTACTCGCATGTGGTTCAAACAATCAAACTCTTGCAACTAAGTGGCCAGGAAGAGTCAGAAAGGAAGGAAGAAATTGAAAGAGAAAACGGTACACCAACACACTCCTTCTCGCAAATACGTTTTCAACATGAATTGACGAAACCAAAGACTGGAAAAATCCCGGTCAACGCCTATGGATGGTCGGGTTGTGCTTCTTTCGTCAAAGCGACATACGCGTAAGTGGCGTAAGGTCAGGAGAAAAGGCGCATTACCAGACAAACAAAAAAAAAGGAATTTGATCAGCTACCCCTTCCATCGTGATATCAGAGAAGGGCAAGACACGCGGTCTTGAACTCAAGAAATCTGGGGCCAGCCCAGCTCAAAGGCAGCTTGTGCAGTGACTATAGGTTTGCATCTCTTTTAGTGTGGAGCTGGCGCAGCCTTGCTTGGAGGAGGCGGGCCTGCAAGAGATCGTCCGCAATCATGTTACAGCAGGGTCAATGAACAAGAGAAAGAGAGAGAGAGAGAGAAAAAAAAAAGTGAGCCAAGTTGAACGAAAATAGCATGAGCTCGCGAGAGAGCGGAGGAACGTACGAAGGCCGCCAGTAGGCTTGGCAGGAGGAGCAGGCTTGAGTCCTACTCGCACGGCCAAGCCTGCAGGCTTATTCGGCAGTTGAGGTTTTGTCCGTGGGGCTTGGTTGGTCTGCGGCTTGTTGGCACTGGGGGGCTGCAATGCTGGGCGCACCGGGGCGCTGCTCGGGGTCTCAGACTTAGTCTGGGCCGTAGAAGCGTGGTCTGAAGTCAAGTCACGGCCAACCTTGCGTAATGCAGGCATAACAAAGCCCGAAGACGGCGTCGGCGGAGAAGGCGAAGTCTCAGGTGGTGGTGGTCGGACACGATTCCCGCCCGATGCTGGAGGGGCGGGAGTGGAGCTGGGTGGTGGCGGCCGGGGTTGTGCACTAGCTCCGGGCGGCTTGCCTGCAGATGGGGGTCGTAAAGCGGGCGTGGAAGTCTGTACCGGCGGCTTTTTTGTTGGGGGGACTCGAGACTGAGCTGGGGGCGCGATGCCGGGTGCAAACTTGGCGCCTAGTGCCGAGGCAATTGAGGCTGCGTGCTTGTTGACATTGCTGGCCGGCGAGGCTGGCAGTTGTGGACCACTGTGGCCAGTCGCAGGGCTGTCGGTATCCCCGGCATTGGGAATGGATACGACCCGTGTGAAAGAGGCTTTGTCGGGTGTCGAGATGTTGGGACGCTCTGCAGAGGCTCCGCCAGTGTTCATGCTCTCGTTTGCCGATAGAGCAAGTTCTTCGGCTGATTGGGTCGCGCGCAACCAAGCAGAGGTGTGACAGAATGGTAAGATGTGGCGGTTTCTCAGATGGCAGGAAGAGCGTTCATAAGCCAGCACGGGAATTTGCAGTGGCAACCGTCAGTCCACGTACCGGCTCGAGCAGCGGCCTCCAAGGAAAGGTCGAGGCTTTTGCCAAGTTCTTTGATGAGAAGCGGGTACTTCAAAACACGCTGTTGATAGGGGAATCATCCCACCACACAATTTTGATGAGCAGGGGCACGACTCAACGGCAAAAAGATGGCATGATGCGTTTGAACAAACCTGAAAGGGGCGCATAAAGTAATTCAGGGTGGGTTTGTTGAGTTGGGGCATTTTGGCTTCAAACTGTACAAAGGCACGGTCCTCCAGTTTGTCTTGGTAAAGGGCCTGGGCCGCAGGCAGACCAGCGCAGTAGCGGCCGTAGCAACCACCAAAGCCGCCTAGGTGACGGGCTAGGATACCATCGAGTTCCGCAGGCGCAGCACCCTCCAAATCAGCCAGCAGCGGCTCATGAAGGGGATGTAATTCAGCCCAGTTTCCAAAAAATGTTTTGGCTTCGGGTAGTGTGACCACGGCCCGGAGGCGCACGAAAAAGTCATCGCGAACCGAGGCCAACATGGCGACAAAGTCGCGCTCCGTCATGAGGAGCTCCTCGAGAGGGTTTTTGGGTTTTGGTGCCTTGGGACCGGCCAGCTCGAGCATCGACGCTCGGGCCGGACCTTCATGGGCTTCGTCAATCAGCTCAAAGTAGTCCCTCCCGAGCAACCCTTCGCGGTTTTGATAGCGAACCTCAGCCCAACCATCCTCGTACTGTACTAAAACCTCGATAATGTCATCCACACGCACGGTCATCTCGTCCTGCTCCTGGGCAACGTAGTCCGCTACTACCCGAGCCAGCGGGCTTTGCTGTGACGGCGTTGATGAGGCGGAGGGGTGCGAGGCTCGCTTGGGACGCAAGGTGACGGTGCCACCGTTGCTACTGTTCGACAGGCCCAGGCTAACTTCGTCTGGGAAGACCAAAACATCTTCGGGGTTGGCCGCAAGGACGGCGCGTTGTTGATCGGCGCCTGTAGGGGTAATGAAGAATTTAAGCGTGGTGGCGATTTGACGATCGTCGAGGGCCAGGCGCACAAGGGTGTCCAGAAACGCCTTGAGCTTGGGCTGTCGATAGAGGGCAACTTCATGAACGCCGCTACGCTTCAAGTAAATCTTGCGTGTGAGACGAGGGATGGCTTCTGGGTTGGCCATGAGATTGAGAAGCGTCTCGCGCAGGGCGTCGAATTGGCTGTAGCGGCGCCAGACGCGAACGACCAAGCCCGAGGCATGTGTGACGACCACCTCATACACATAGTGCTTGTTGCGCCCGTTGTTGTCACGGCGCTTCTCTGCCGTGGGAATCTCACATAGAGATACCGGATCAACCTCCATCGCACAGGCGCGAGAGACGCCAAGGCGTGCGTTGAACCGCCGCTCACCCGGCCAGCCCTGTGACGTTGGCGCCCCCGCGGCAAGGCCAGACCAGACGTCTCAAGTCACACTTGAAACGTACTCTCGAAGAGGGCCTCCCTCTTCGTCTTGCTACCATGAGAGGGAAGGCAACCAATGCCCGCTCACCGCCTTGTGATGGCACGGTTCTTGTTGCTCGTCCCAGATAACGCTGGCAGCAAAGGCAAAATAAGCGCCAGGAGCTCTCTGTGGGGGCTTTCAAGCAAGAGGCAAACCAGACAGTCAGGCCAGATGAGCTCTGAGCCACTTGCTCGCCGCTCCCCGCGACGTCGCGAGGCTGCTCCAGCTGCAGTCGAGCCACACAGCGCAGAGCGCGCGACAGAACACAGAGAGAGAGAGAGAGAGAGAGAGAGAGAGAGAGCGAGCGAGGATGAGCTGTAAGAGAAAGTGAACCGAAAATCACACTTTGGTTCACTTGTTGAGCTTCTGTCAGGTTCTGTGCGCTTCTTGTATTGAATCTCTGTGTGATATCACTTTCAACACGCTTTCTCTGCTTTTGGCTTTTACTTTGCCTTATCCCTCACGTCCAGCATAGCCCTTGTCTCTGTCTTTGCACCTGCTGTGGGACGTATCTCTTGCGGTTTCCGGCAGTTTGCTTGTGTTGCTGCGCCGCTTGAGCTTGAGCTGCTGGCTCCTCGAAGTGGCCCTGAGGTCCAGCAAGATTTGCTCCGATCGCCAGGCTACCGACTCCTTTTAAACTCGAACTCGGAACTTGACGGATCGTTAGGACGCCGCCATTGCTGGGCGTGTAGCTGGACAAGCGCCCTTTCCAGCAAGTTTACCAGCAGCGGGTAAGCAGGCTAGATCGAGAAAAAAAAAGTGCTTGGCGTGGCGGGGGTCCACGTCACTGAAGCACAGGTGTGCAGGGAGAAAGAGGGGGGAGAAAGAACAGGGCCAGCAGTCTTTGGCATGGCACTTACGCACCGCTGTCAAGATAGGAGCTGTTGCCGATTCAGGAGGCTTTTGCTTTTTCGCTCGTGGTGCCACTGTGCGCCATGGCTTCACATGGCCGCCGCGATCAGCTGTCGCACACGGGCGACCGGACCGCGACCGAGGTCGTTGTGGCGCTGATCAAAAAGCCCGTAAGTAGAACAGTGTTTGGCTTGGCAGTTTGCCGCTCATCACGGCTCCAGCTGTGCTCTGCATTCATGACTGCCTCGCTGTCAACAATACTGGCGGACTGCATAGGCTGTTGCAACTGGTCTATCGCTATGGCTTCTAGGCTTGTACTTTTGCCTGTTTGCAGCCGCACCAGTTACCATCACCCCAGAAATGGAACGGAACTTCTTCAACGAGCTTGATGCAGCCCAGCGTATCCCGGGGTAGGTGCCTATTCTCAGCGCTTTGCTATGGTGGCGCTGTCACCACAGTGGCTGCCTCCATGGACGCCTCACTTGATCACTCGTCTCGTCTTGCATCTGTCTGATAGCCTAGCCAAAGCTGAAGCAGATCTCAGCGCCATTGAAGCTGAGATGGATGCCTACAAAGTCTGGTTCTGGCGCTTTCGACCCGAGTATCGGGCTCGCGTCGAAGCCTTGCAGCCCGAATACGATCAAAGTGGGATGGCGCCCCGTTGAGTTGCTTCTGGCGTTCCCTGCCATGCTACCCACACTTTGGGCTCATGACGGTGATTGCCTATTGCTAGTTTATGCCACATATTCCGAGCTTGACACTCAGCGACGTCAACAAATAGCTGATGCGCAGGGCAAGCTGGGCGTCTGGTCCGAATTTGCCGTCATGGATGTGCGCCAGCGTTTCTGGGACCTGATGGGCGTACGTCGGGCAAACACCGTTCCTTTTAACCTGAAAGAGCGGATCTCTCTGCTGACTGCGCCTTCTCGTTTTTTTGTTTTCCCTCATTTTAATCTATTCTTTTTCCATGCGCAGATGTCCAAGGATTCAGCCAAACGCAGTACCTTTTACGGGGCTCTTTTTAGCATTGGGCGTCGTGATGAGGTAACGCTCGTCTTGAAGCAGGCTCGTGCAGTCTCTACTTTTTTTCTTCGTCTCATCAACCACTTTGTGGGGGCATCCTTCTGCATGTGCCTAGGACTTGGTGTCTTTTTTGCTACGCATGTTTATTGACTTTATCATTTCGTGGATCATGGCTTTGGTGATGGCCACCATATTCTTCGTGGGCGTTGTCATCGACGTGATCATTGCATATCAAGCATCTTTTCTCTCCGCCATCGCCTTCTTTGCCGTGGCCATGTTGGGTGCCGCAGCCATGGTAGCCACGTTCATCTTTCTGTTGGCCTCACCCGTCATTGTGCCTCTGACAATTGCCACGGTCTGGCCGGAACGCCTGCGGGGCTTCACACGCACTGCACCTTCATATTTGCATGAGCCCCGACGGCCGCACCAGGATTAGACCTGGAATTGATATCGGGTACGGTCTGCGACAAGGTTTCATATCGGTCTTCACTAAATTGGGCAAACCGGATCTTAAATCATGATCAAGAATTGGAGTTTGTGGCTCAGCCACGACTGGAGCGAGAGAGTAAGAGAGTTGAGTTGAGGGGGTTGAGGTTTGCCAGACAAGAAAACTAGACAAAGGGGGCAGATGAAGCAGATGAGGTCAGCCATCACGGATGGCGCTTCCTGCATGTGCCTTGGGAACAAAAGCAACGAATCGCCCGCGACAGCGCAGCTGTTGAGTATGCTCTTGGCAGATGATTCATGACAAAAGCGATTCTATCAAGGCATCGTCGTTCACGCGGTCAACGCCATCCAAAGATGCGCTTCTTTGGGTCTGCTGCGTGTCTGATGCCTTCTGGACTGCGCTAGGATTGGCCCGAGCACATCGTGCAAGCCTATGGGGCAGGTTGACCGGCGTGGGTGCCAAGGATCCAACTACAAGAAGTTGGCAACAGTCAGGACAAAGGAGGCGCGTGTGCTGCGCGATGTGGCCTTACCGCTTGGCGCACTTGTGGCAGACACGAAGCTTAACAAGTGCTCGGCGCTGTTCCCCTCGCTCTTTGTAGCTGAACGGGACGCGCCAGGTCTCAAGGGCCTCGCGCCGTACGCACTGCAGATTGCCACAAACAAATTGGCCTGCCAGACAACCACCAAAGACCATCGCGTTAATCATGAGCACGGCAGCCGGGCGTAGTGCACCGACATGCTTCACTCACCTTTCCCTTCAAAAACCTCACTCTCCACGCGCCAACGGAGACCCAACAGCCCTTCGCGGTAGCGACTCATGTCGGCCAGGCAATACTCCTTGAAAAGCTTGTCATGATAGCGCTTGGCAAGGTTGGCCTGCCAAGTCTGTAGTGCGCGATCCTGCGGTTCCCAGATGAAGCGGTGTTCCTCTCGAATCACGTCAAAGTCATTGCGACGCTCTGGCTGTTGGCTACGCAGATACTCGTCCTTATCGCCGTAAAAGTAGACAAAGTCTTCTAGAAAGCGCTGGTGTCGTTCATAGGCTGTCATGCCTGAGGAACACATCAAGCGATGGAGGTTTTAGTATGCAATGGACTGGCTCACCATCCGACGATTTTGGCGCAGAACGTACCGGCTAGCACGGTCTGCGCGTAACGAATACGCTCATGGCGATCATACTCCTCGGCAAAAGTGCGCTTGGTGACTACCGGCTGCGAGATTGTGCCCCTGCTGCTAGACTGCCAAGCCCGGTCGACCACCGGAAAGTGAAGATGATAGGCTGAGTGGCGACCGCAGGGTGTTGATCACCGGCCATGGTGCTGGCAAACGGGGCCTGTCATCCTGGCAGCGATTCGAACCTGATTCTCGGCTACGCGGCGCGTCGTATGCATGGGCACATCTGAGCCATATTTGGGCTTTTTCGGCTTGGCCTCCAACTCCGACTCATAGCCTGGCACGAAATAAACATCATGAGTTCACCGGGAAAACACTTATCAAACTGCGCAGCTAAGGTGTCGAAGCAAACTTGAACTCACCGCCAGCCAAGTAGTCATCCACCAAATCGACTGGCGGGGCCGAGCCGGCCATGGCTGCCGCCACAAAACAAGAGTTGTTTGAGACCCAAAAGTTCACAACAACAACAACATTTAAAAAAAAAAAAAAAAAAAAAAAATGCGCAAAAAAAAACACAAAAAAAAGAGAGAAAAAAAAAGAAGAAAGACTTAGTGATGTCCGAGCACTATTTCAGTTGTTTCGTTTGATGCGGGGCTTGCGTGCGACTGCATAAGGAGTGAGGAGTGGGCCCGAGTGCATGACCAAAGGCCAGCGATAGTCATATCGTAAGAAGTCTGGAAATAGCCTAGTTTGATGCCCGCTGCCCCACCCTGGAGCTGGTCATTCAGGGGTGATCGGTCGCTTTTGACTGACACTTCAAAAACCGTTTAAAGACTGAGCGCCTTTCAATTCCGAAGAGTTTGGTAGGTGTCCATCAGAGCGGGCACATTTGCACAAGGACACAACCACCTCGACGGATGCTAGACTGACTGGCCTGACCTAATCCACCTGAACAAACTCCTCATCGTCAAAATCAGTGACAGCAGCCATGCTGGAGCGGTCTTCGGCAAAGATGGGCAAGGTCAATACCAGAGCCGTCTTGCTTCGTTCCTGTTGTACTGGGGTGCCTTCCAGCTCGACGGCAATTTCCACAATGGATTGCAAGAAGGTTTGCAGCTTTTTGCGACGCTCTGCTGTCACGGCCGGTGATACAGAGCCAAACGTCTACATATTCCAGTCCATTTTGATGAGAGCGTGAGTACAGGGGTGAGCCGAGAAAAACGGGGCCATGTCATGCCTCGCACAGCCGCGCGATGCCACGTACCTTGGCAGGGAACTCTAGACGATCAACGTTGGGGAACTGCTTCCGAATCTCACGCTGAAATGCCAGAAGCTCACTGTAGCGTCGATAAATGATCCACTGATCTGTTCCGACCGTCACGTAAATCTCAAATGCCTGATGCCCACCCTGCACCTTGACCACGCGGGGAATACTGATGGCAATGTCCCGGGACAGGGACGCCACGGCACTACTGAACGCTTTGATCTCCGCCGGCGCAACGGGGGGAACAGCGCCCTTCTCCACAGCAGTTTGCAGGCGAAGGTAGACTGTCTCAAAGGACTGTTCCAGCTGCTCGATGCGAATTTTGGTTGTGCTGATGTGCGTGACCGCCTCTGCCAGTTGTTGGCTCAGCTCTGCTATCTCTTCTTCTTTGGACGCCACAAGCTGTGCCTGCTCCGCTAGCGCTGCCTTGGCCGAAGTAACATCTGCCTCGCGCTCAGCCACGCTTGCGGCTTCTTGCTTAAGCTGTGCCTGCAGATCCAAAAGAGCGGCATCACGGTTGCTCAGCTCTTGTGCATGAGCTTCTACCGTTTCTTGGTGCGTTCGGGTTTCTTCTGCTGCTGCTGCCTGCTGCTCCTTGAGTTTGGCCAGTGTTGCCTTGAGCTGCGACGCCAACATCTTCACCTTCTCCTCGGACTGCTTGAGCTTTTGTTGGTGCTCCGCCTCTTGTGTCTTCATGGCTTCAGCATGCTCGCGGTTCTGCTGGACCAGATGCGTGTCGTGCTCACGTCGCAGCTTTTCAATTTCAGTCTTGAGTGTGCCATTCTCCTTCTCCACAGCAGTGAGTCGTTCTTGTCGCAGATTACTCTCACACGTTACCTATGCATGGCACCGGCAAAGTCAATACCTCGACAAGCCGAGGGATCACAGAAAGCGTGCGAGGGTCTGCATGTTTGACACTTTTTCAAGATGCAAAACCCCATGCCATCGAATCGCATGATTGAGGCAGGGACAGGGCAGATTGGCCGTACCTGCTCGCGAAAAGTCGACAACTCCTCAACGACGTGATCATAATCTTCTTGCAGGCTCACCAAACGATCTCGCTTCTGCAATAGGTCAGCAAACTAAAATACGGAATAAAATTGGAGCAATATGAGTGAAAGTTGATGCGACAGGCATCCCACGGATTGTCACAAGCCCGTGCTTGTATTCCAAAGCCGAGTTCATGTTGCTGTGGGACAGCAGCACCACAATTGACAAGCCAACCTTGCTCTCAAGCGCCGTCTTTTCGGAGCGACCAGAATCCACACTGGCTTGCAGCGATGCGACCTGCTGGCGTAGCGCATCACGCTCATCACTGATCTCATGTACTTGCGACTCGAGCGCGTCGATGCGCGTCCGACTCTCCTTCTGCTGCGCGGCCACGTGTGCTTCCAGCTCTTTCTTAGCCTGTATCACTCAAGCATTGTGCATCAATGAAGAGGCATGTTATTGGAAACGATTCGAGGGGGCGGAGGTGAGCAAGGCGTGTTTACGGGTGTGAGCGGCAGCATGGTCGTGGCACGGGCCATGCTCGAAGTTTGTCAAACGCGTCTCGTGGGTGGAACAAAACGGAGAACCCCCGGACCTGAGTCAAAGATTGAACTTCCTTCTCCAGGCGTTTGCAGGTGGCTTCGCGTGCTGCCTGCTCATCCTTGGCGGCGGCCAGATCAGCCTTGCTCGTTTGGAGATTTTCCAAGAGCTTACTGCGTTCCTTCTACAGCCCACGGCACGAACGCAGGGGTTGGCAAAGCAGAGAGCACATATTGGGCGTCTCCGGTCAAGGCGTTCCCAGTAAACAGGCATAGTTGGGTCAAAGCAGGCACACGGCGTACGTTGAAAGAGGTCTTCTGATCCTTGAGCCGTTGTGTAGCTTCTTCCAGCTCCTGAGCCAGCCGTGTGTGGCCAGCCGTGGCCTCGCGGTGCGCCTCATCAGCTGTGACAGCGCCTTGCTTCAAGGTCTCCAGTTGCTGCTGGAGATCCGTGCGGCTTTGTTCTGCGGCTCGCAGGGTCTCGTTAGCACGCATGGCTTGCTGGCGTGTCTCGCGCACGCGTGCCTCCAAGGCCTGCACGGAAGCAAGCAATTTGGCATTTCGCGCAACCACAGGCGACAGCGTTTGCAACAGAAGGGTCGTGGTAGCATCGACCTTGTGCACGAGCGCCTCCTTAAGTTGATCGACGGCTTGGGCATCGCGGGATCGTGCCGAGCGCTGAGCTGCCAGTTGCCGCTTCAAGTCATCTACCTCAACTAGAGCATCTTGCAAGCCCCCTTCTGAGCTCGCAGCGGCTTCTGCCAGCCGGGCTCGGGCTTGGTTTGCCTGGTCCAGCAGCTCCCGCTCGAGGGCTTGCACGCGATTCTGCATTTGTTGCAATTCATCTTGCGCGGCTGCCTGGGCGGCACGAGCGTTCTTTTCAGTGGCGGCCTGTTTTGCGTCGGCTGTTGCCGAGGTTGTAGGCGCAGGGGGAGTCCTTGTATGACAAAATTCCGCTAACTGATTGACTAGTGTTGGGGTCTGATCAAGCACAAAACTCGCCCATTCTTGGCGCAAGGCACCGGAAGGACCCAGGTCGAGGCGCAGTTGAGTCTGGTCCGCGCGCAATTGAGCCAGCGCCGCTTGGGCCTGCGCGCGCGCCTTGCCGAGCACGGAATTTTGCTCGCGTTGCCGAAGTTCGAGAGCAGCCATTTGCTGTTGAGCAGCATGCAGCTCCTGATGAAGTTGCTGTAGAGCTTGTTCATTGGCCTCAAGAGCCGCACAAGCTTGGTCCGATTCGACTTCATGCGAGTTTAGGCGCGCTTCTTGGGCCTCACGAGCGCGGACCAAATCCGTTTTTTCTGCTTCAAGTTTTTGCGTTGTCGTGGTGAGTGTTGCGAGGGCCTGTTTCAGGCTTGCCAGCTGTTGGGTCAAACGCTCGTTTTCATCGCGCATCTCGGTCATTTTGATCATATCCGCAGCCGGGTCGTACGGTGCAAGGAGCTCCAGTTTATCTGGTCGAGCAAAGAGGCCGTGCTGCGGTGGCGCCTCAAAGTACCTGAGAGACACGGTTGCATGCGAATAGAAGGCATCAAGACAATGAGGCAAGAACAAGAGGGATCGGGCTTTGTTTTGCCGTCTCTGGGCCAGGTGCTTGCAAAGTGAGCGCACGTACTGTTTGCCGTTCACCGTGCCATCATTCTTGCCATTGGGTTCGTCGAGTTCGATGCCAACCCAAACACCCTGTATCACGATGCAGGCAACCCAGTTTTCAAATAGACCGAGTTGAATGAGTGCCGAACGGTGATGCCAGGCCAACTGGGCACGGCGCTGCGACACGGCGCTGCTCACCTCCTGGAAATCGGTGTCACCAATGAAGCGAATGATGCCCTCACCGCCCTTGGCATGGCGCACTCGGCACCCAAGGGTGAGTAGCAGGCTCAACGCCATGCTTGAAAGTATCAAGCAAGCGCAGGCGTGTGGGAATAGAAGCTGACTTGGGTCGCTCGCTCTTCAAGGCGTGCTACCTCGGTACTGGGCGGTCGTCGTACAGAAGCCCAGTTCATCGTGGGCACACCGCGTTCACCCGAGCGCTGCGATCAAAAGAAATGGGAAAAAAGTGCCCAACGCCGCACCGGTCACGAAGACCACAGCCACTGGCAGCCACGTATGCACCCCCCAACTCCCGCTGCCACGCTACACCAGAGCAGTGCATCGGGGTCCTGGGAGCGTATCAAGTGCTCCCCGATCACACCCTTGCACTGTCTTGGAGAACTGACACTCAATGATACACACACTCACTGGTTTCGTGTTCTGCAATAACAGTGTGTGTGTGTGTGTGTGTGTGTGTGTGTGTGTGTGTGTGTGTGTGTGTGTGTGTGTGTGTGTGTGTGTGTGTGTGTGTGTGTGTGTGTGTGTGTGTGTGTGTGTGTGTGTTTGTGGAATGACCAAAGCGCCGAGAGGGCCGAAACACACGAAGGACAGGGGGAAGGAAAAGAGTTGATTAAGAATGACGGCCACTAGTGGTTTTTATCTAAGGCTAGTCAGTTAGGCACCCAAAGAATTGGGCGCACATACAAGAGAACAAAAAGAAAACGAAAAAAGGGCACAATGCTTTAACTACGCATGCTCAGACTACACATAGGTACCCGAGTCAGGCATCATCTCGCCACGCAAGCGAGGTTGCGAGCGCCGCGCAAGGATGTGCGATACACGTCTGCGGGCCACACGGGTTGAAATGTCCGTATCACTCTTTTCCTTATCCGAGTTTTGGCTACCGTGGGAACTCCACGACTTGGTCGTGCGGAGGAGGGTTTGTGCTGGAGAGCACGTGTTGAGCGCGTTGGCTACAATATCGATCTCATCATCCGACACCACCTCTTCCATGACCTGACGCGCCTCAATCACCTTGGGCGCAGCCGGTGGTCGGTTTTGAGCGGGCACCGATACATCATGAGGGCCTAACACGGGAAACTTGTCAAAGGACGAGCCGTGCGATGAGGATGATGATTCTTCGGGCAACTGGTGCAGGAAGCGCACGGCTTGCGATGGCACCGCAAGAGGCGCGACCAGGCCGTTGGAACCTGGCATGGAGCCCTTGCGCATCTTGGCCTCACTCAACGTTGCATCTGGGGAGGGCGTCTTGGCCGGCTGGTTCGCTGGCGGCGCCGAGCTGACGCGCTGCACAGGGGATTGATCTTGCGGCGCAGGTTTGGGAGTCTCAACGGGCGGGGCCTTGGCGGCGGATGTCGCCAGCATGGCACCTCCATTGCGGCGCAAGGAGCGGTTGGGTCGCATGCCCTTGGCTTTGCTGGCCATGGACATGGAGCGAGCCCGGCCGTCCTGTTTCATACCGGCGCCTGGGGTGCGAATGCGCGACTCTGGCAACACAAGGTGCGCAGCCTTGTCAGGCACTGCCTTGGCCTTCGATTTGGCCTTGCTCTTTGACGTCGATTCACTTTGCTCTTCGCCCTTGGTGCTTCCAGCGCCAGATCCGTTGCTGGCAGCGGGGCTTGATTTGGCCGAGGCACGCGCCGATTCACTCGTTGGAACAACAAGACTATTGTGCGACCCTTGCGAACTCATTGTATCCACGGTGCCGGACTGTGTTGGAGACAATGTCATCACAAGTTCTTGAGTAGACCCGACCTCGGGCTGTGCAACCACAGTATCAGCGGCAGCCTTGGCGGTTTCGGCCTCTGCTTCAGCCTTGGCCTGAGCCTCGGCCTTGCGCGCCGAGCGAGCGGCACGTGACTCCCACATGAGAAGATTTGCCTTTAGGTTTCGGGCTTGAACGGTGTCTGCATTGCGATTGACGAGCCGGTTCCACTGATGCCACAAGGGTTGGCAGACATAGGTGATGAAGCCAATTTGGGCCTTGGGAGTATCGACCTTAAAGCGATCGTTGAGTGCACCGACGGGCAGACCATCGGCACGCTCCGCGTCACCTTCGTCAAAAAACTCCTCCATGAGGCGGTCAGTCCACTCTTTGCAAAGTCTCCATTCTTTGGTGGCAGAACCCAGATCGGCCATGTGGACCATGCAGCTGAGCAGAAGCGAGCGTTCGTCGGCCTCAGCCTTTTCTTGAAGAACGTGTGCCAGTGTGGCCATACCCTCATACGCCTCAACCTAAAAATTGACATTCAAGGCGACCGCCACGCACAATCAAAATGTCGTGCACTCGGAGCAGGATCTGAAAAAGAACACTGGGCCAGAGCGTCGAGGTGGGCAAAAAAAAGCGGGGAAAAGCAAATGCGAGATGAACGTACGCCGTTGGTGAGCTTGTCGACAAAGCGGACCAACTCTTCAAGGATGCGGGCGTGTTTGACCATGTCAGTGGCCATGATCATATCCACCACAAGTTTGCGAATGTCCTGGCATCGTAACGCAGTTGTCAGATCAAGTCAAAGAGATGATAAGTGGCCAGCCTGCGATGATGTTTAGGCAATGCAGGCAAGTGACGTACTTTCTGTTCATCGGGTCGGAAGCCTGCAATCAAATTACATTCAGGCTCGTTGAACATGACGTCAAAGGTGACACGAGCATGGTGGTTCTCGAGCACGCTCCGGTCATTGTACAGCATGGCCAGGTTGTGACGCTTCTTGATGAGATACACGTTGGTACGACCAAAGTGTTCCACGTCGTGGCCCGCTCCGGCAATGAGGCAGGACAACACCTCGAGCGGCGTAAACGAGGCCACCAAGGTGGAGAGCATGACATGGACAGAGTGCATCACATCGGTACCATGCTGGTTGTTATGATAAGGTACCATGTCAATGGTGGCATAGCGTCGCTCAATATGGTAGAAAAAGCGAGCCACCTGGTCAACATGGATGGGGCAGGTCTGAAACAGACCATGCGCCTCAAAGAGACGCAGACCCAGTGCCACCATGGGGCTACCCGCGCACAGCACAGTGAGTCGAAAGATGTCAAAGTTCCAGGAGCAAAAGTAGCGCAGATGCTCCAGCGTTTCCTCTGAGGGCATGTCAAACACGTCACACTTTTCGGCGGCTTCTGCCACAAGTTTACGGTAATCCTCGTCCTCCTCGACGGGCGACTCGTCTTCATCGTGACGCAGCAGAGCAACATTGGTGAAAGAGTGGGCGCGCGGGCGTGACGGCGACAGGCTGGCGGCAAAGCAGGGCGCCGGCGAGTCTTGCGTGCCAGAGAGGCGTGTCGAGGGTTTGCGCTGGGACGGCTGCCGCGATGAGCGACGTCGCATGGAGGGCGAGTCCAAGGTGGCTTTGCGCGTCAGACTATCTCGATGCGAGGATTTGGAGGTGTTCGATCGTCGCGAGCCCTACAAAGCGATTCACAGCCATGGTCAGCACCATGCACGGGAGACCAAAGTCGATCAGCGCCACAAGACGAATCTCGGGCGTGCGGAGAATGTCAAGCAGTACGAACAAAGCGCCAGGTGCCTCGTCGGTCGAGGGTGTTGCGACGGGACGCGGGATGATCCATTTCCGCGTCGTCCTCCTGCCCTGGGCTCCATGGGTGTTGATGTACAGTAGCGTCCTTTGAGACTGCGCCTGACTCGCGCAGGCGCATGTCAATATTTTGGCTATTGTGATGAGTGCCATCATGGCCGCCGCCAAAATTGCTAAAGAGGGTGTAAGGAAAATAAAAAAAGTTTGAGCTTTGAGCAGGTTCTTTATTTCCCCACAGCCCACCCTGGCGCCGGGCGGTGCTCAAAAAGCAGGGAAAGAGAAGTCAACACGTGCAAGTATGACGTACGCAGCCACAATGCGGGCCATGTCGCTGGAGATGGGGTGGGGTGGACTATTGGCACGGCTTCGACTGGAGCGCATGGAAGCAGCTGATGCGTTGGAGGTGGACATGGTACGCTCCAACGAGCTGTGCTTGTTGATGGAGCGATTGCTGGCCGAAAATTGGGCGGACAGGGCCATGCGAGCGCGAGTGGTCAAGTGCGAGCGATTCTTGCTGGGCACACTGGTGGCGCGGTGAAAGTGGCCACCCGATGGCTCGAGGCCCGGACTGGTTGCGCTGTGGTTATTACTGCCGGAGAGGGTATCGAAACGGCCAATGGTATTGTCCTTGTGATCCATGTCAATGGAGGCCCGATTGGACTCAGGACCGTTGTCCGTCTGCATGGGATGAAATCAGAGGCACGGGTATAGGTTTGAGCGGTGGGCCCAATGATATTTCCTCCCTTTTTTTTTCTTTGGAAATTTTGAGAGAGAGAGGGAGAGATGGAACGAAGAGACGTACGCGAGAGGCCTCAGTATAGTTCTCGGCCATCCATTCGGCAATGTAGCTTTCATCTCCATTCACCTTCTTAAGTTGCTTGAGGGTGTGTCGGAACTGACGATTGAGGTCACTGCCGTGGTGTTCTGCGTGATCCACGGGATGGGAGAGTTCCAAGTGCAATGTTTCCAACTGATGGAGGATCCAGTCGAGACGCTCATGGGGTGGACGACCGCGAGGACAGTCAAGAGACATGTGTGACATGGTGGATCGAGAAGGAGAATCGGTGGGTGTCAAGACTTCATCTTCGGATGACTTGCGGAAAATTTTGAACGGGTTTCTGCGTAAGCATCATCGGGAAGCATTGGATTGTGAGCATTGGTGACAATGCGCAATACTGAGCAGTAGGAGTCAGGTACGAGGACATACTTGCGGCGTGATGAACGCCGAGAATTTGAAGATTCAGCCTGTGCCTAAGGGACATGAAATGGACAAGAGAAGCGGTTTAGCAGCGTCTGCGACCGGTGTTGGCCATGCCAGTGATGCTGGGTCGGTTTGAGTGTTCACAGCGCGGTGGGTGGCGTACCACCAAGTCATCTTTGACCAGAGCAATCTCACGCATCAGCTATGCACATGCCAGGGTCGTAGTCAGGAGGGGTCGAGGGCACGCGTGAGTACCGGAAGCGCCATGGTCAGCACGGCGGAGTCGAAGGAAAACAGGCGTGTGAATGGGCATGATGATGAGCGTACCGTTTCCACATCGCTCTGAAGAAACGCCATGCTGACGGTGTGAGTGCGTGTGTGTGGGAGGTGGCGCCAAGAAGAGTGTGCGGCTCGGCGGCGAACTCGGCGATGCACACAGAGCCAGGCGTCGGGCACAGCGTGCACGGGAGCCGCCGATATTGATAAAACAGGGGTGTTTGCGGCAGAAATGAGCAATCTCTCAGCTCATGGAACCACCTGCCATAAATGCAGTAGCGTGCCCAATTACCAACAATGGGGTGAACAAACAGCAGACCAAACAGCAGACCGCTGTTCACGGCAACGAGGCAGGGTTTGGTGTGTGTGTGTGTGTGTGTGTGTGTGTGTGTGTGTGTGTGTGTGTGTGTGTGTGTGTGTGTGTGTGTGTGTGTGTGTGTGTGTGTGTGTGTGTGTGTGTGTGTGTGTGTGTGTGTGTGTGTGTGTGTGTGCGTGTGTCTGTGCTGTGCCGAGTGCTGAGTGCTGCCGGTGCCCGTCAAGCGATGTGATGAAAATTCCTGACCAGCAGGAGGGCTAAAGTGTGGACAGGTGGATGAAAAAATGGCGGCCGGCAGCCAAGGGGAAGCACGAATGAGAACGAAAGTGTTGAGTGTGTGTGTGCTGTGTCGAGAAGGACTTGCGTCCCGGCGACTCGCGGGTGGTGGCGATACGAGGCGGCGGTGACAACTGAGGTATGTCGTTGCACCAAAAGCGTAAAGAGAGGAGGCAAAGCAAAGAAAAGGTGGCAGGTGCAAAAGGCGCAAAAGGTGCAAAAGGTGCAAAAGGCGGTCGGTCGGTCGTCAAGAGGAATTAT